TTCATTCATTCATTTACGAAATATTAGGAGAATTGTTGCTTGAATTGGATTATGTTAGCGGTTATCGATATTGTTTCGTAGTCGCACGTGGTGCGATGAAATCTGAGGTCAGAAGAGTAGTCGGGGTAACCGGTCGAGGGGAGACGAGAAGTCGCTGCCTGGGTCTATTGCTTTATTTCGATGCCTGCACGTGCAACGACGTTCACAGTAATCAGGTCATCGCCTGCATCGATCGTGTAGTTAACCGGTACAAGTGAACACGTGCAATTCATAGCTAGATCGTACTATATACGTTGGCCTCTCCCCCATAGAACATAGGAATCTCGATCTTGCATGTTAACTTTTACACTTTCTTTCTCTAAAAAGAAAATCGTATTTTCATGATATACTTTATTATTAAAAAGTTCAAGTGTAAGTACATATTTTTCAATCGATGGCAAAATATTATAAGCTATTACCAACATTACAAGCTATCAAGATATTGATGTTACACAAACTGAAAGTGCACAACTAATTGCAAATTCGCTTGACTATTTAACCGTGTGATAATGTCGATGCTCGTATTTCTGTGATCTACGTTAAGTACTTGGTTCTTTTACTTGTATTTATTTTAAAACGTTTCACGCAAGTGTCGCGACACGCATGAACGTTATAAAATACATAGTTACTTACATCGAGCATTACGCAGGTGCGCACGTGCCTTTTGCACTGAGGTCAAGGTGCAAGACAACAACGGCCCGTGCCGGTAATATTAGATTTAACAAGTGAAAGTTTTCAATTCACGATCCTTTGTTTATAAATAAACAATTTCCCCTTGATTCAATATACATATAAGTGGGACGATGTTTCCACGCCAATAAAAAAGAATGTAACTGAACTGTTCCTCCTGTATAATAAATTGTAAGTTTAGCAATTAAGTCTAATTCGATTTCTTAATCAGTTACATTAACACTAAGTATCTCATCGATAAATTTAATTAAAAATCTCTAAAATATGGTTTTTGCTGTGTATGAATCGGTAAAAAGTATAATAAAACAAAAGTACTATACGTGTTGAATGTCATCGGTTACCAATGTTGAGAATCAGTCACATTTTTATCACATTAATCTTTTCATGCTAAACATTTTCTCTTCTTTTAACCCTCTCTATTAACATAATTACAGGATAGATTATACTTTCATAAGATTGAAACTTTAAAAATTGCTGTCTTCTCTAGTAATTAAATTTACAGACTCGTTCCAACTGAGAATACAATGCAACTTCTGCATTAAATACTGCATTGAATATTAATCAAAAATGTATCAAAAATGTAATGAGATATTGCCACGCGTCTCACAATCAGTTGTCAACGAAAGCATTGACTCACGTAGCAAAACGCATCATTGATGCGTATGTGAATCATCGATTGTTCTCCCTTCGTTAAATTATGCAGATGGCTACTAGTATTATTACATATCGCTGACAGAGCAATTACCATGAAAGTCAATAAACTCTTGGTTTGTAAACATAGAAAACGTGAACATTTTCATGAATGGGCTGATTGAAACGAACATTCAATCGACCAAGGAATTCAATAAAGTCTAGTTAAGTGAAAATTTTGATACGAAATTCGTCTAATTTACACTTTTTCCCGCCAAATAGTGTCGGATATGTTTCGCGACTAAAAATAGAAAAAATATATGTAACTTTGTAATAAAATAAATTTTTTCCTGGTTTTTCGGTCGTAAAGCATATCGACATCGTTTGACGAGAAAAAAGAAATTGAAATATGAAAAAAAATCGAAGAACTTAATTCTTAAATTTAAAAATAAATACTTCCTGTATACTTTAGCAATTTCATTTTCATTCTTCTTTTTTTTTTTTTATTATTCCCAGTCTTATCTCAGTTTGTCTCTTTTGATTTCAGAGCTTCATTAGAAAATGGCACCGACTGTTTATCTATCGGAACTACCAATTATAAGAACACCAACGATTCCGTGTTCACGACGAAGGCAGAGGGCTCTTAACGGGGCTATAGTAAAGCAGCAAAGGCTAGAATTTAGACGATTAGAAACGAATGCGCCTTCTGTCGATGATGCGACTCTCACACCACCTCAAAGTCCTTTTTGGGAGCCAGAGAGCCCCAATGATTCCTGTGCACCAATTATTGTTAGTTCTTCCGCCCCGAACGTTTCCGCTCGAGTTCCAGCGGATATACAGGAACATTGGAAGGTGTTCCTAGCAAGACGGAAAGGTGTGTCATTTAGTATAATTAATGGTAAACGATCAATGTAGAAAAAGAGTAATTTTCCACGGAAGTTTTCGCTAATTCTTTTGAGAATTTTTATTACATTTCATATATATTTTTATATATTTATATAATTTGTATAATTATATATTTTTATAATTATATAACATTTATATAATTTTACTTTTTATAAATTCAATTTTGAAAATTTAAGTCAGAAAATAAAGTGATTTTTTATTTCGATCATTGATTAACAAATTGAATGATTTATCAACATGTTGCATGATAATTTACTCATTTAATAGAAATTTCGGAAATGGTAATGTTTATTTAATTTTAATTGTATTACTAACTCTAAAAAGGTTCTTCAAAATACAGGTTACTAAAAAAATACATTAAATGTAAATGTATAAATGCAAACATAAGTATTTATTATTATTATATAT